TACCCATGAACCTCCAAGTAGACACCGACAGCGTTGGGTTGAGACCCAGAGAGCCAGCAGATCCACACCGAGACAAGGACTCGCCGCCACTCTATGATAAAGGATCAGAAACTCTTGAGAGCATAGCCACATCGGTTCGGAATGTTGGCAGGAATCTTTTTTGATCAAACCCTTATATGAACCCTGCCACCCTGTATGTAATCTCAAGATGTTTCATACTGATCTCGAAAGGTCGTCGCATTGACGCCGCATATCGCCGCAACTCCCGAATGAAAACCGGAACCATCAGTCAGTCCCTCTGTGGTGCCAGTCTGGGGCCTTACTTATTTCTGTCAGGCTTTCGGTGTCTTTCACAATATAACAATCCAAGCACTTTCATGAAATGCTGGATTGACCCATATTGTCCTGACATTAGAAGCATTACAACAATGAAGCTCTAAGACGCGTCAGACGCGGTACGAGTGTGTACTTCCAAACGGTAGGAGAACGGCTTTGGGTTGAAGGAATGAGGGTTCAGGGCTACCGCAAACCCCGAGATCACTGACCCCAGAGCTCGCAGCCGTGGCGTTGTCGAGCTGCTGCGCCGGCAGCGGCGGCTCTTCCTTGCAAGTTAGGGTTTAGGGTTTAGGCATTACCTGGTTGTGCTTGTTGTCGAAGTAGCCGTCTGAATCTATCCACTAAGCCTCGATGAACCAACGTCGGCTGCGACACACAATTGTGTATCTGTGGATTAATACATACGTATATACATACACATACGTATATTGCAAGTTTATTTGATTCTTGTCAGGAACTAGAAGCTTCCCCCAAACAAAACATAGGTGCTTCGAGGTTCCTGAAAGCCCGGAGTAGCCTGGTTCGATCGCGAACTCTAAGACACCCGGAGAAATGGAAAAGACCCTCTAATCCCTACATACCACATCGTAGGCCCCAGTTTAAGGAACACTTAAGAAATCAGTGTTATAACCGAACGCAACAATTTAGGTAGGCTACTTACTTGGGGTCCAGGTAACCCCTAAACCACACCGAAAACCCTTCATTGTATGATTCTTATGAATTTTAAAGTATGAAATTCCTCAATTCAGGGGTTTCGGAGTCTCTGGGCAGTGAAACTGTAAACCCAAATCCCTAAACCCTCAACCCTTTTTTGCTACTGGCCTCAAGTCTAGCCAGATACAACCTAAACCCTACACCTAAACTCCAAAACTGCCCTTAAACCCTTCTTGAACCCAGACTCTGCCAATCAGCTGGGAGGCAGCAACCCTAAACCCTAAACTCAAACCCCTAAACCCTAAACCCCTCATCCCCTAAACTCCACAACCCCCAAAACCCCCTGAACCCTAAAAACCCAAAGCACCAAGAGCGGGCCTGGTCGGTGCCCTGCTCCGCGAGCTGCCGGTTGAGGCCACGCAGTTCTGGAAAGGGCCGGTTCGGGCTTCGGGTTTCTGGTTTTGGTTTAGGGTTTAGGGTTTAGGGTTTAGGGTTTAGGGCTGTTCTCTCTTTAAAGGTCCCGACTCTTTTTTCCCACCCGCCCAGCTGGCAGAGTCGCACCGCAGGGATCGACTCTTAAGGTTGGGTTTTAATTAGGAAAGGCTTCGACTCAAAGAGGGTTTCGGGGCTTTTTTGCCGGCTTAAGTCGTGTTTTTGGACTTTCCGGCTGCGCAGTGGTTGGAGCCTACAAGATCAGCCAGGACGTCTACTTGGAGGTTCATGGGTAGTTATAAGTGGGGTTAGAAGCCCCCTCAACAGGGTTATAATTATAGTTACCCTACTTATAACCCTACCTCGTAAAAGCTGATGCAGCGCCTCATGTGTAGGGGTCCCTAATAAGAAGGATCTCCTGTGTTTCAAAGGGCCTATGTTAGGAAACCTCAGCCTGAACTCTAACACCCTTACTTCCCCAACAAGCCACGGATTAGGGTTTAGGGTTTAGGGTTTAGGGTTTAGGGTTTAGGGTTTAGGGTTTAAACTTTCAGATTACCACTAGGGCATTGGAGAACTGAGCACCGGAAGCACTTCGACCCCACTCCCTTGCGCCTGGAGGAGCGGGCACCTTTATGGGCGTGCCGATCTCCTCCACCAAGGCTTCGGAACTCTCTGATTTAGGGTTTAGGGTTTAGGGCTCTGAAGGCATCTGATTAAGGCGCTTCAAGATTCAATGTCAAGTGCCCTGCGGGAAAGACCACCGCAACTCCGCAACGTCAGTGTGAACGAAGGCAGAGTTTGTCCTAAACTCTAAACCATTGTAGGCACAAACAAACTGAGTCTTCGATGCCACGTCAAGTCAAGGACGAAGCACGGTGCCTTCTCAGGCTTTTCCATTCGGCCTTGAAGTGAAGCTTTGCGGCTCGTTCTTGAAACTCATATAGTAATATAGAAATATAGCTGAGGGGTTTGCTGGCGGCCTTTTAGTACACTACCGGGGGAAAGAGTTACGAGGCCCCTTGCAGGTCTGTTGGCTTTTGGGGACAAGAACGACCGGGTTTCTCAAGGCGAGAAGAGATGGCCGCACAAAGCCGATCCAAAGTGTGCCAAACATGGCATTGAACTGCGTTCGCATGCTCCTCTCTTGGCAGTGACCGAGTAGAATAGTGTTTAGGGTTTAGGGTTTAGGGTTTAGGATGGTTTAGGGCAGTAGAACTGCATTGACCATGATCTTTCGTGCACTCCACTACATGCAGCCATGGCAGAGAAGCTGGCTTGTCGAGCCCGGGCTTTTTCAGAAACGATACTGTACCCAAATGCCAGAATTCTACTACAGAACATTTGGCAACCATTAGGGTTTAGGGTTTAGGGTTTAGGGCGGGTTAATGGCTTAAACTCGATAATCAAATCCTATAGTTAGCCGCAAACCCTTCGACAGGACATAAGCGCAGGGCCGGGTGTGGCAGAGTAGTCTTGTGCCTTCCGTTGCCTGCTCTGCCTCGGCTTTGAACTTCGCAGCAAACCGCACTCAAAAATATGGGGGAGGATGAGAGTAAGATCGACACTACTATGAAGACGATATGGGGAAACATTGAAAACACTATATATGCTAGAAACGTCCATGCCAGCAACGCTTGCAGAGTGACTCCGTTGCTGCCACAGTCACTGGTACTCGTACTTGCTCCTGCGTATTACTACTGCTACTACTCCTCCTGCTGCTGCTACCACTACCCCCACCAAGACTACTGCGTTGTTGATGCTTGCACTTGGACAAATTTTGCTCTCGGTAGTGAGGCCAGCACGGCGTGTTGAAGTCCAGACTCTCCCGTAGGTTCTGTGGAAGCGTGGCCTCCGCCGAAAATGCTGTGGGGAGAAGGCTCGCGATTCCAAATTATCCAAAACTAAAGCGGAATGATTTTGTGAGACTGCTTTTGCTTGTCCGCTCTGTGGTCGCCTACCTCTATTGTGCGTGGATGCTTCGGTCAATCATGTTCCGATCCGTGGCACTGCCTGTGCAGCCTCACGGCGTCCCAGTAAGCAGAATGCCTTGCTTGATCGAGTCGAAGCATGATACCGCAATGATACCTCTTTGCCTCCAATCCGCGAAACCCCGACCCGCAGCCTAATTCCCTTACTTCTCCAATGCCCAACCTTTAAACCTTTTGGTTTCTTATAACCTAGTAGCAGTCTGAAAGTTTAACCTGTTATTTCCCTGGCTTGCTGGGGGAGTAAGTTACAGCGGAAGCATGGCTGGCAGGCCGTCGAATCCAACACCCCACATTGTGATTGTGACCCTTGCGGCGGGCGATACGCCTCCTGATGAATAAGTGGGGGTGTCCGAAAACAAGGACCCTAATACAGCACCCTAAATAGTAGGATCCTTATTATAAGAACCCCAAAGCTAAGGTACCCCTTATTCTCGGAAACTCCCAATTACTTCAGTACACCCTAAACCCTAAACGCTACACCCTAAACCCTAAACAGGGTTTTAGGGTGTGTGGCTTTCAACGCTCACTCTCGGACATGGCTAGGGGTCGGCCTTGGCAGGCGCTGCTGGCAAGACGCCATCAGGGTCCTCCTCGGAAGTCAGCTTTCTTCGGGATCGGGATCGGTTTAGGGTTTAGGGTGTAGGGTTTGGGGTTTAGGGTTTAGGGTTTAGGGTTTAGGGGTTACTAGATCGTGGTCTTCGACTGCAGCTTACTGCATTGCGTCTACAGCAACCGAGTACGATTATCTTGACTTTAGTTTGTACACAGAGGGCCTGTGACCGACCAGAGCTGGCAATACCTTCCGACATGTGCGTCGATGTGCAAAGTGGGAGTTAGGATTAGGGGGACCCTTGGGGATATAGACCCTCTCAATAAGGTCCCTTTTAAGAGAGCCAAAAGTAGGGTTCAGAAGGGGTACCCTTTAAGGGGTACCCTAATACTACTACCTACAAAGGAACATCGACACCTACGAACGTATGAAATGCCGCGTGCACAAAGTAGCGCAAATCGTTCATCCGGCACAAGGAAGAGTAATGCATGTTCACCCATGCGTATGTGTGCACCCATATGTATACGGATGCGTGAATTTTTGCTTCGGGACTCCATGGATTTGCCCGGGGCACAGCCGCTTTACTTTCAGCATCCTATACGGATGCGTGAATACGTGTATGCATTTTCTATGTATATATATATATACACATATCTGTATTTATTTGTTTGGTTAGATATGTACATCTATCTGTCGGATTATGTTCCGATAGAAAGACAAACACACTGGGCAGACAGATCAACAGATAGAAGGACAAACAGATGGATAGGCAGAGAGGTAGAGAGGTAGATTGGCAGATGGAAAAGCAGGTAGCTACCTCTGTACACACATACCTACACGCACGTATGCGTGTGTGTATATATATATATACACACATGCAGGTATCTATAGGACTTAAGTGTGAGCGCATGGGAAATTACGTGCATACGGGACATGCCCTGACATGACATGACATGCATGCTTGCATGCATGCATTCATACAGACATTCATACATCTGGGCGTGCATACCTGGCATTACATCATGTTACATTACATTACACCACATCACGCAACAGCACGTTGCATTAACACATACACGCCTACATTAGTACACACATGCATGCATGCATCTAGAAATACATAAAATATTCAACCATTAACCGTTTCAACTAGCTTGAACTTGCGTCACTTAATTTTTTGCTTTATGTACTTATACCTATCTATACTTATTTATGCATATTCGTGTCAGTGTCCTTATGTGCCTGTTTGTAGGAGTGGGGGCGAGCGAGAGAGAGAGAGAGAGAGAGAGAGAGAGAGAGAGAGGGAGGGAGAGAGACAGAGAAAGAGACAGAGAGAGAGAGAGACAGAGAGAGACAAGGAGAGAGACAAAGAGACAGAGAGACAGAGAGACGGAGAGAGGGAGGGAGGAGACGCGAGCATGCGTGAGAGAGAGCGAGAGAGAGACAAAGACAGAGACAGAGCCAGAGCCAGAGCCAGAGCCAGAGCCAGAGCCAGAGCCAGAGCCAGAGCCAGAGCCAGAGCCAGAGCCAGAGACAGAGACAGAGACAGAGACAGAGACAGACAGACAGACATGGATAGGGTGTAGAGCTTGATAAAGG